ATAAAATAATACAGAACTCTCATATAGAGATGAGAGATGCTCAGAGTTTCATAAAATAAAAACCATGTCATTCTATGTTTAGTTTTTTTTTAATCACTATAATCATTTGATGACAATTCACTTTGCTTTTGTCACTGATTATTATAACGTAGAGGGCATTTATATCAGTTTAGAATGGAGGGTCATAATTTTCTCTGTGATGCATGCATAGTTTTGAGTTTGGGATCAGAACAGGTCATTTATGGATTGCGTAAAAGATTAAAAAATTTGGCTTCTTATTTTTAATTCTCATCATTTCCCCTATTATAAAATATTTAATGAAAATGAGTATATATGTTAATTTATTATGGGATTTATCTATGCAGTGCATGTGATAGTAAAAAATAGTCAAATTTTATCAATTAAGCCTATTTTAAAAGGGGAATGTGAATAGCAAAAGATATAAAACAGGCCATCATAGCTAGTGTTCAATCATGGGAATGCAAGTCATCAGACCAGCCAAAAGGCTGACTAAATGTTTGATGATCGTCTTAATTTTGCATTTTCAAATAACAGCAAAATGATGATATAAGAATAAAATGGTTTTTTAGGCCTCATCTATCCTGCTTTCGTGGCAAAAGCATTATAATACAAACACTTCATTCTTGGTTTGTAACTTTAAGAGAACAGTACAAATTCAGAAACATTTCTGCTAACTAGGGTTTTTATGCTGCCTAGAATCACTTTATAGGGAGGTGGGTAGCATAAAAATTAAACAAACAAACAACAGGACTATAAGTTGACAATTCTGAACTAGAAAAGGGCTTAGATTTGATATAAAGCAGTTTCTTTAAAGCTCTGCTTAGAAAAAGTGAATATACTGGTTTTCTTTCTTTTTTCTTTCTTTCTTTCTTTCCATTTCTATAGCTGCCCATCTTTTTTAAAAAAAAACTTTGGGTAGCTTACAACCAATAAATTAAGGCTTAGATCCATTGATGCAAAATATACTTTCTACCATTGAGCTACAGTCATGTCACTCAGCAGAAAGGTCATGAGAGGGTAGAATTCAATTGGCAGCAGTTTTTAATTGAATGGTTTGCCATACAGGTGTTGTAAAATATCTGTTTTATTTTTTTTTATAAATTTCTATTGTCTTCTGTTTCTATAGAGTCTTTCTCATCCAATACTAATTCTTTTTTTTTTTTCAGGCAGCGGAACTGAGCCCATAGTGAACACAACAAAGTATGTAGACAATCGTGATGCTGCAGAGAAATCTGGAACAAAAACAGATGTCAAGAAACATAAGGGGATCTTTAAGCATCTTTTCAGGAAGAAATAGAAGCAATACAGTTTGTTTGAATTTCCTAGAGATGCTAGGTTCTTCAGTCCATTTCACCCTATTGCCTTTACGATTAATTTAAGAGCTACGGCTGAAAGAGAAATGTGCACATTATCTATTGAATAAGCATCCTCCACAAAATGTACATTCATATCCCTCCAATATTTCTGCCAGAAATTATAAACAATTATCACTTAAATTGTGTAGCACCAGGTATTTATAATTGCATGCATTTGAAAGCCATGAAAGTTTAGAGTTAATATTGGACAATTGTGAGTATATCAGTATATCAGTACCCTCCTTAACATCTATAGGAGATTAAAAAGGGGAAAATAAGAAGTAGGATTTCCATTTAATGAAAAACTTTGGTTGTGTGAAAAAAAAATGCACTACGGATATCTCTGAGCAAATATTTCTTCTATGCAGATATGAAGGCTAGAGAAGCGTCATAACCTTGACAGGATAGCTTCTAATATTGGGAAAGTCCTGATTATTGATTTATAAAAGGATACATCCAATCGTCATTAGGTAAAATTAATTAAATCTATATCATGTCTAGTTTAATGAAGAGAAGGATGAGGGGGGACATGATAGCAGTGTTCCAATATCTCAGGGGTTGCCATAAAGAAGAGGGAGTCAAGCTATTCTCCAAAGCGCCTGAAGGCAGGACAAGAAGCAACGGGTGGAAACTAATCAAGGAGAGAAGCAATCTAGAACTAAGGAGAAACTTCCTGACAGTGAGAACAATTA